AAGTGGAAAAGATAATTGTAAGAAATTACTACTCTGGAGATCTATCTACATTGCCCATCACAAACTCTGAATAAAAAGCTAAGAGCGAAAAAAAAGATAAAATTTTAAAGATAAAATTTTAAATGTTTTCCTTTTCTGTTTCTTTTATCAGGAAAAAAGGGAGAGCCTTCAAGTATAGAAGCTGAGCTCTATTTTAGGAGAAAAAAAATCACCACTTTGAAGGTTTCAGTTGTCACACTAGGCTAGTGGTCATGTTATTTGAGATCTGCCACAGAGCACAGTACAGAAGAGGGTTCCTCTTTGCAGCCTCTGTGTAGGAAAAGACAGGAAGGAAAAGAAATACCCAGGTGGTACACAGACCAGGTTCTGCTGACCCAGGGTAATTCTTCACAGGGGATTCCTCTTCAGAAATTAAAAGCCAGTTAAAATCAGATTATGAATAGTGGAGGGGGGGATTATTAGAGGAACGAAGAAGTTATTAAGGAGACAGAAGTTGACAATAAAAGGCTTTAGTCAGTAAGGCGTAAAAGCCAATGTCACCAAACCCCCTAGATATACACACAGGGCCGCACACATACAACTTCTAGATACAAAAGAATAAGCATACATATGATTTAACTCTCGCTTTTTAAATCTGTGGAGTGATTTAACAGCTTTCAGTCTTATATTCCTACTCACATTTTCAGGACTACCAAAATCACACCTAGCATGACAGAATCTGTAAATTCACCTGTGTGAAGACAACTGTGTTCAAACTCCATACTGAATGTGATAGTTTCTAAAAATATACAGGTTTCTTTAAGGTTTAAAGGATAAAAAAGTAGGTTTACACTTTTACCCACAAAGGTCTGGATGACTCAGAGTTTAATAATAGGATGCACAGCTTTCACCCCTAGGTCACTGATTCTAGGGTAACTGTAGTTGATAGTCATTTTAGGACATTAAAATCCAGCAGCTGTTTTGTTCACAATCTGTGAACAATCTGCGTTGCTTGTCTCTATTAATACTTATTTGACAGGTGTACACATTCCAACTCATATGCATCTGCCAATTGCTAGCACTTTGAAGAAGAGTGATGAAAGCCACACCAGCTGCTACCTTTAGAAAGCCCTTAGTGTGCCCAATTTCTCCTTTCCTTATCTGAAGTACTAAATACTAATACCTCACATTACTATTTATTTTACTATCTAAAATAACATCATAAAGGAATGCTACTGTGGAGGATTTCTGAAATGAGTACAACAGCATCCTATAAAATAAAGAAAGCAGCAGATAACCTTTTCTCCTAGGAAAGCATGCCGAAGGCCAGCTACCTAAGGTTAACATTTGAAATGGCTTAGCAACCTGTGGGTGCCTGCAGACAGCCCTGGAATTGTGTGCTTTACCACAGTCATCCGTGCACATTAAGGGTCACTGGGGAACAGAACTCTAAACTGTATGGATCGGAGATTTACATACGCAGGCAACATAAACCAGTGTTACTTCTACTACCTCTACCATGGTGCTCTATAGCCTTAAAGCTACCACCTCTGTCATGTCAAAGATTTATAAGCTATCAATTCAAGCCATCACCATGGCAATGTGAAACTGGATTATACCCAATGTACTCTAAGGTCACTCCATTAAGAAAGTTCTCTATTTCCCCAGTAACAGCAATCACTGGAAAAAAATTATGTTTAGAGAAATAAAACTATTATTTTTAAACCATAGTACAGAGGCATTTAAGTCACTAGCTAATCTTTACTGAATTAATGATAACACCTCATCATCATGCTTTGGCACATACTCAGTGCATGCCACTCATGCCCTGAAATAAGATTTATCAACTAGAAATCTACCTTCCTACTTTCCAGGTTCACAATGACCTTCTTTCAACGAACTCAGCATGTTCTTCTTTCAGAAAAATATTAACTAGGCAATATCCCAACTCACATTTAATAAGCACCTTAATGTTTGTATAAAATGCTTATTAGCTCTGCTTTTAGAATTTTAATTGTACAAATAAGTTCGCATGAAAATTAGACTGCTTGATTTTTTTAGGTGTTGTTAAATTATGCACTATTTGGCACAAACTCAAAGTAATGGTGAAAAAAGTCATTACTTCAATTTTATAATTTTATTTCAAATGATCTTAAAAACACTGCAAGTTCAGGTTTGACAGATTTGCTTCTGTCAAACCCATGGATTCTTATAAAATAAGGGGATAAAGCACTTACTATACCTTTTTTGGTCTAGTTCAGAAAGGCATAAACATAAACAAGCAGACTGATTTTGTTTTGCCTTAAAACTGGTGGGTCAATGTAGATAGGAGCCTACAATCCATTTCAATGATGAAGAAATTAAGACACAAGAGAGGTTAAATGACATGGAAACACAAACCCAGTATAAGGGATCTTAGAATTAATATCTGATCACAAGTCTTATTATTTTATCAAATTGAAAGAACTGTCATTTTTGTACCAGCTAAAAGTCTGTATAAAACCTCTTTAATTCTAATTTTGATAACAAACAGCAAATCTATCACTTCTGTCTGCTTTAATGTTTTATCTCTATCGTAAGTATCAAGAAGTACAAAGTCGGATTTAGGGCCCAAGCAGAACACCACTTCATAACCAGGGTTTCTGGCAGTAATCTCTTCCTCTCTGTCACTCAGCTCTTCATAAATTCGATCTCTAGTAGCTAAATGTGTTATATGCTTGACAATGTTCTGGGTGTTAAAGATACAGTAGTGAACAAATCTTGTAAAAATCCCTGTCTTCAGGAAAGTGCTTTTATGTAAGAAAGGGCATGTTAGTGCAATGGAGAAAATAAAAGCAGGACAGGATACTGGGTGGGTGGGGGTGAGGTTTAACCTTAAAAAGGGTTGTCAGAGACTTATAGGTGACATTCGCATAAGGTTCTGAGAGGAAGAAGGGGAGGAGTCAGCAAGGAAAAAGACTGGTGTCAGGTGGTGAACCCAGCATAAGAACAAATACAAAACCCTTGAGGTGTTAAAATGAACAATGATGTAAATGTATAAGTAAATAAATACAAATTTTTAAAAATAATAAAAAATAAAAAAATATGCCAAAAAAAAAAAGCCCTGAGTAGAAACATGCCTGGCCTGCATGACTCATCTTTTTGTTGTTATTATTTCAATAAAATGTATTTTTTATTGAAAATTGTGTCAAATACTTTGGAAGAGCAGGAATCATAAATCATACAACCATAAATACTACAAATGAGCTTCAGACTCTATGTCGCTTCAGATACTATGTCACTTCAGAGGAGTTTGGGGGAAGTTGTGCTTTACAAAGACACTTGATTCACCTTGTCGCCCTCTCACTCCCTGTTCCTCGTCTTCTCCACTAGAAATCAAAACAGTGACTTTGGAAAACTAATTTTGGGAGGTAAAAAAGAAAAAAATCTCTGGGGAAGAGGCCAATATTATGGAAATCAAAGATAAGGCAGAATGCCTCAAACCACAATGACCACCTCCCTGGAATTTCTAAGCCCACTTTATTTGTATCCAGCATTGTAGTGCTGCCTGGCACTGTTACTCTCTTTGATCTTCCTGTGCTACTCGTACATTTCTTGCCTACACATATGCTCTCACAGTGACTCCTCTGGAGCAAGGCCCTTATCTTGGGAATGTCTGAATCCCATCATTGGGCTCTGCACATGTACCAATATCTGTTTGATGGTGATGTCACAGACACTACCACAGACATTCCTCCTGTTTTAAGTATCTGTTTGTGGATAAAGCATGAATGAGCTATCATAGACTCTCACAGGCCTTTGGATAATCTCAACCGTCCTGGCCAAGTTACTGTTTGTGTAACATTCCATTCTGTTTAAGTTTCCCTTGCATTTGCAGTTGGGTACAGAGCATACTTTCAGTCTAGACACAAACATGGATTAGCCACAAAACAGAGGGAACCATACTGTGTGGAGCCTAGCTCAGTTCACTTCAGCTGATAATACTAAGCACTATCATGGAAAGGGAACTCACCATGAAACCACAAGACACTGTCCAGAGTACAGCAAGACAGACAGACACATAAGGAACAACTGCAGTGCACATAAGATACACAGAAGCATTATGAACATAGATAGGCAGTGGCCTGGAGGGTGAGTAAGGCTTTGGGGAAGAGTTGGCACCTGAACAGCCAGGGTTTTGAAAGATGAATAGGCCTGGGACAATCAGACACAGGATCAAAGGGCACTTGGGATTGTGCAAAACACTGGCTGAAACATAACAGACTGAAACTGCTGGAAGAAGACATGCACCACCAGTGAGAGAGAGCTGGTCCATTGCACTCAAGCTTTCCAAGAAAAAAACAAGTTTTCAAATCAGGAGCTGAGGAGGAAAGTTTCACCAGGGCTTGTTTTGCAAAACCTCTTAGCCTCACTTTGTTTTGTTCTTTCTGTTTTGTTCTCTCTGAAAGTACTGTGCTGGCTGAAAACCTCTCTGAGAAAAAAGTGCATCAGCTTTTCCTTGGAAAAGAAAACTGAAAAGTAGGTGAGGGCCAAGGACTACATACTTTTTAAATTTATCCTCCCGTTAAAGATATGAAGGTGTGTGGGTGCTGATTTCGCCTCACCTACTCAATACTTAATTGTTTTCTGCCCACTGGTTATTATTTTCTGAGATGCCAGGCCCATGAGGCACTATCAGTGCCCCCCCCTCTTTGGGCTAACTCCAGTGTGCAATCCAATGAAAAAAATAAGCAGAGGGCAAGTGAAACCTTGTTCCTTCCAGGCTTCCAAAGCCTGATGCTCATGCAGTTAAATTCCAGTCAAATTAACCAGTAAGGACAAAATATACTGAAATAACAGAACTAGGACAACAACCGAGAAACGAGAAATTGAAAGAACCCCCACCTCCACCCCTCCCACCCCCTCCCCCGTAGGAGTCTCAAAGCCCCTTCCTGTGAGGGAGCTGGCACGCAGGACTAGTCCGCCAGGGCTTTGGAAGGCTGAATGGGGAGCAGAGGGGGCTACAGAGAGGGTGAAGTTACCTGGGAGCTCAGGTAGACTTTGAGGCACTCCTCGCACACGGCCTTCTTGCAGCAGGGCAAGGGCTTGATAGGCTTGTCTTCCAGGCACACCCGGCACATCAGCACCATGAGGGGCGCATAAGGATCCCCTACCCCACCCAGGCCAGAGTAGGGTGGAGCTCCCAACAGGCTGGGCACGGAGAAAGGCTCCGGGGCCAGGTAGAACTCCAGCTCGATGCTGCTGCCGTCGGGGGCGAGGGGGTCCGTGGGGAGGGGCAGCCGGGGGCTCGGAAAGGAGGTGGGGGTGTCGGGAGGGTTCGTCACCGGCGGAACCCGAGGTGGCGACGCGGTCGGCGAGATCTGCTCCGCCGGGGGGCCGTCTGGCAGGTCGTTCTCCACGCAGTACACGGAGCACAAGACTTGTCTCTGGGCGGGGGGCAGGCGCCGCGGACCCAGCACGTCCAGGACCAGTGCGTCCGGGGCCCCGACGCCGACTCTGGGCTCCGGCTCGTCGCGGGCGGGAGCCTCCGGTAGTTCATCCCTTCCCTCGCTTCGGTCTCCGGCTTCCTCCTCTTCCGCTTCCAGCTGCTCTTGCAAAGTCTGAGGGTTGAGGGGTCCGGCGAGTGCCAGTCCCGCGGGCTGCCCTCGGGTTCGGCTCCGTCTCCAGCCCGAGCTCCCCGAGGTCTTCGGGGACTCGGGGGAGCTCGTGTCCGCGCAGCCCGAGTCGCTTCCGTGGCCACCGCCGCTCGGCTCCCCGGAGGCGGCGCTCAGCCCCGGAGCCCCAGCGCTGTCCCCTCGCGGCCGCGAGGGCTCG